ATCTTTATATTTTATACTTTTTTTTTGTTTTCCACTTTTAGGACGGTAGAGGACTTAGAGACCGGACAAATTAGCTCTTCTTTAGAGGTGGAATTAGTGTTAAAGGAGAAGAAAGTTGGGAAGCTTGGTGAGATGAAGAATTGGTACTACAATTTTTAAAAAATATCCTTGTTTTTCCATTACCATGTATTTATATACAATTCTTAATTATGATAAAATGTGATTCTTTTGTAGTCTCATATTCGAAGAAGGGTTATGGAGACGATTTTGAGCCTACGGTTATTCATATTCCAGTACGGTGTTGTTTACAAATTGGATGTGCAAAATTCAAATACATCATTATCCGTAAGAATTTGAATTTCAAAATCTAGACAAGTCCCATCTTTTTCAAAGAGTTATATATGCTTTATTATAATCTTATTTGTGTTTTAATAATCTTTTATCATGTTTTATAATTCAATAATTTTTACCCTATAGCATATTCACATATAACACAAAAACAATTAACTACAAAAGTGGTCCCTTTGTAGAAAAGGTTTCAATTCTAGACTAAACACGATAAAAATCCAAAACGAAGGGACGACTTTTGTAAATTCATAAGAAAATTTATTCTATTTCTATAAACCAACCAAACATAACCAATCTTTCCATTCCTACATGTGTACGGATTTTCATGGCTTGTGCTTGTAGCCCTCGCAATCCTTTTCAATAGTTAACAGATGTTTCTAATATTTCTTGGTTTTGAAGAAAGTTTGCACAAGTAAAATGTAGCAGTGCCTACAGTAACCTTCTCATGGCATGTTAGTTTTATATAATTTTCTTTTTAATTCTTATTGTGTTTTACTAAACTATTTCCATTTTACAGAGTGTTGAAGAAGCAACGTGTGAAAGGGCGTATGAGTTGGCTACTGATCTCTATGTGTCGATCTTTGATCGTACAAAGGCCACGTGAGTAAGTATGATTCATTATTTTCTTTGACTTTTATATAAACCAATGTACAAGCCTTTATAAAATCTTCTCTCAAATCACTATAGGTTGCAATTAGAGAAGCACATGAAGAGGTTGTGCAAAAAGGCGATGTCCATTTTTAATGCCATTTTAGTGGGATTTGGTTCTGCTAGACAAAAATACGAAAAAAAATCTTATGTTTTTGAAAAAGGCTTTTGAGGTAATTTTTTTGTGCTTTACATCATTTATAATATTCGATAGTCAAATTTCTTGTTTAATCATCCGTTCTTGTTTTTACTGGTTATATTGAAATATTGTAGGATCATAAAAAGAAAGACTTATGTCTCAAACCAAATTGCCTTAGTTGAGACGCAACGCGGATAAAATGAGGATATTCAACAGAAAAATATAAGGATGGTCAACAAGAGAATGTGGAGTTTCAACAGAAAAATATGGATGTTCAAGTAAAGTTTGAACAACTTGCACAAGCTTTGAGTGAGTAGGTTAAAATTTTTATTAATCAATGATAGAATATTATGTATCGAATAATATTTTATATTTAATTAGTAGCCACTTTTGATTTTGAAATAGGTATCTTTTGATATATTGGATATTTCTTTTAGTTTCTATAGAAATAATCTTTTACTTGTGGTTTTATATTAATTGCATTTTTATGAAATTATATAATAGTCGAATTGAATAATCGAAATTTATTGAATAATGGTATGGAACAATTGCCACAGAATTTGCTACGGAAATGTTGCTACGGAATTAGTTATGGAAAAATTGCTATGAAATTTGCTACAGAAAAGTTGCTATGGAATTTGCTACGGAAACATTGCTACGAAATTAGTTACTATGGAATTTGCTACGGAAAAGTTGCTACGAAATTTGCTACGGAAACATTGCTACGAAATTAGTTATGGAAAAATTGTTATGGAATTTGCTATGGAAAAGTTGCTATGGAATTTGCTACGGAAAAGTTGCTACGGAAACATTACAACGGAATTTGTTACGGAAAAATTGTTATGGATTTTGCTACGAAAATGCTATGGAACTCAATTTACAACGGAATATATGTCGTAGAAACTGTCATAGCAAAATTGCTACAGAATTGTATTTCCGTAGCTAAACAATTTGCTACAAGAAATAAACTTACGAAGTCTAACTGAAAATTTGCGTAACAAATTTCGTAGTTATTCAGCTTTAGCTACAGAATTTTAGTGTTTGGCTACGAAATTTTCCGTAGCTAAATAGAAAATTTCTTGTAGTGTCTCAATTACATCATAGAACAAGCTAGCGATCCTTTACATGCTCCTGTAATTAAATTCAAAATGATTTTTTTTAAGCAAAATCATTAAAAAAATCATTTTGAATGAAAGATTATTGCTATATTTAGTTTGGTTGCGTATAGTGAAACAACCTTCAAGCTCTAAGTCATTCTCATGGGCAGTTTCTAACATTCACATTCCAATGGGAAATTTGATTTTTTGCTCGTCTCCTTCTTCGCCATAGAATGTCACAGAAGGTCATGAACATGTGACATATTAAGATTTTTTTAACAAGGTATATATTAAAACAAATACTCCAGCGGGAAGCTGAAAAAAAAAGAATACAAGAAACAGTACTAGGATACAAGAAAACAAACCATAAGAAACATAAACACCAAAACAATTGAGAGAGAAGTGAAACCCAACAATGGTAAAAGGGTTACAATATCATAAAAAATCCCCAACAGCCAAGATAGCAACAAGTGACATACCACCAAATAAAATGGAAGAAAACTTCAAGCAGGGCACCAAAGCGGTTGCACACCAGAAATGACATGACGAGGTAAATGCTCAATGTATTAGTAAACACTCCCAACCAAAAATATGACAACTATCAACAAATTGATATAAATCTGAATTTGGATGAAATCTTTAAGCAATGACACCAAAACAGCAACACAAAAAAGATTTCCTTTTATGTAACTGATAGTAACAAAACCATTATAATTAAGATATAAATTTGCAATCAAGAAATATGTGATCTGTGTTGGTTCATCTAGAATACCTTGTTCAAGTTAAGGCAAAATCAATAACTTTCGAAGTGATTATCTCCAAATTGATTTTCTGGTTGCAGAAAATATTAATAAATTACTCAAGAAGATTATCCCTTTCATTTAAAATTTACCTCGTGCTTAGTGTCCTACCTCAGTTCCATGGTGAACCGCTTATTATGTGATTCTTCTTATTATCCATTTGGAGACAATAGGTGAAAAGACACCAAAATTGAATTTATTGGAAAGAAGAGGATGAAAATATGAGGAGACTAATTAAAAGGCTTTGTTAAGATGGGGGAGTTAAGCAGGTAAGCAAGGCACAATCTTAACTTTGTTGATTGTAGGTGACAACGATGAAGGTGACATTTGGTTGTTGAAGGAAGCGACAAATGGTGGCGGCATTTGGTGGTCGAGGGCGTTCAATGTTGATGGTGATGGGGTGGGATGAAGACGATAGTGGTATTCTTATAGAGTGTGAAACTGATATACCTAGTTTAATGGGTTATTAATTAATTTACTTTTTTTTTTATCATAATTATTTAAGAATTAAAATTTCAATTATACATTTATCAAATGATTGGCCAGAATTCGTCGTACACTCATTCACACAATACTTGATTGTTATATATGATCCTAACTCTCTTTTCTCTCTCTCTCTCTCTCTCTCTCTCTCTCTCTCTATATATATATATATACACACTAGTTTGTAACCCGTGTGAACTATGGTTACTAAATTATTTAAATTTTATATTAAAAAATCAAAATTATTAATTAATTATTTTAAATAAATTAATAAATAAGAGATTTTTTTAGTTATATAAATTTTAATCATTGATTTAAATAAATATATGAAATTATATAATTTTATAGTTAGTATTAATTTTATTCTAATTTTAATAATTTAATGTAATTATAGTAGAAAACAGTCAAATGGTCTATAAATAAATGGTATATTTTTGTAATACTTATTAAATATTAATACTTGATACATAAATACGTTTAAAAATAAAATAATTTTTTTATTAAGAATATAAACGGGTTGGCGGGTCAACCCGTTTATTTTTTGAGAAACTCATATATGACCCGTTTAATAAACGGATTGGCGGGTTGACGGGTTGGCGGGTTGAAAAACTCAACTCAAACCCATTTATTTCGTGTCGTGTCGCATGTCGTGTCGAGAATTGTCAGCCCTACATAAAAGCCTCAAATTTGCAACTTTCTTTTTCAATTTTACTCCGATTGCCTCTAGTAAAACTAATTTTTTTTGGCGAACTTAAGAATTTTAATGAACAAAAAACCAAACTTAAAGGCTTTTATAAACCAGGAAAAATGATAAAACAAAACATTTGTATCAAACTTAAAGACCTTAATAAACCAAAGATTAAAATTAAAAAAAAAATTGCAAATACTGATTTAATGAATCTAAAATCTGCAAAATGATAAAACTAACAAAAATCTTGTAAGCTTTAGGGTTTTTATGTCATTATCCTTTTTATTATCTATGACAATTGAATGTTTATTTATTCTCTAACCATTATGTTTCAAATAGGTGATGTAAAATCCAATAGACTACAAGTTTATAGCATTCTAGTTTCTAAAAACTGTCATTTATAGCAATGTTTACACGTAAAACAGATTTCTTTTTTTGAAGATTTTGAAAAATAAGTGTAAAACATTTTCTTATGTAACATTCTACTTTCTGAAAACTATTATTTATATATTGAAAAATATATAAGCAACATTTTTTTAAAAATTGTCCACCAGTTATAACCACCTAGTTAATTATAAAATAGTAGTTTCTTTATATCAAAAGTCAAAAACCAAACAAAATATCAACGGACAAAATGATATATATGATTTGGGCTAACTTTATAATCAATGTAATTACATATAATTGGGCGTTTAGTGGGTGTTTTTGATAACTAACGGGATTAATATTAAAAAAAAAAAAAAAAAAAAAAAAAAAAAAAAAAAAACAAACAAACGCAATGAGCAATTTGATTAGATGGGTTTATTATTATTAGACCTATTCAACAAACATATTCACATGATATAGAAATTAAATAAGAGGCATCAGAGGCGGAGGCGGTGGCGGTGAGAGAAGGTTCGGTTGGCGTAAAAGCGTTTGAGGGCCACTAATCCGAGAGTCTGTCCGAGAATGGAGGCAGCAACTGTATATCTGACGGTGGTGGTTTTGGGGATGAGAAGAAAGTTAAGAAGGACAGGTAAAAATGGAATGGTTGCAGTAAGAGCTTTGAACCAAAGAGGTGGGAAGTCGGGTGCAGAGTCTCGCAAGAAAATGAACACGAAATTAATTGACATGGTCATTCCAGCCATCGCCAGCATCACTAGGAGCTTCAGTTGACTTATCATGACTCTTTTAATGGCTGTTATTATCGCTGGAACGCACTTGTATTCTGCCCAAATCATCAACTTCTGTTGGAACTCGGATTGGTTTCTCATAACTACTTCTTTCACACACTTGTATTCTTCTATGTTGGCCACAATTGATGCAACTTTCCTATATGACCTTGTCATCTCACAATTCCCATGCTTAATCTTGTAGTAGTCTCCGCATCCGCTCTGTTGAATGAATCGTTTTTAAAATTGACCTTGTTTTTTGTTTTTGTATCATGAGATTTGAGGGGAAAAGATAAGATATCATACATACCTGAAAAGAGTTTTGTTTGTGTTTGTGTGGCTTTATGAAGGTTGCATCGAAACCAAGGTTTGACGTCCCTCTAACATTCAAAAGACTAATAGTTGATGTCTTTGCTACCAATGGATGATAAAAATGTTGGGTTTCCATGGCCTGATTGAAAACAATATCACAATAGTTCATTTGCATAGATTTCGAGCATTTCTTTTATATAAAGCATGCGAAAAAAATTAGGATTTGAAAACAAAGTGGATCAAACTCGTGACACAGCCATGTTTTCAAATCCCCCATGGTCGAACCAATTTATATCACAAAATCAACAACAGTATGCTATCTATCAATTCCATAGTTTTCGATACCAAATAGTGAACAGTAACTTAATATATATGTTCATTACCTATTAGAGCAATTTTAAAATCCGCAAACAAAACATGATAATAGCAAAATTACTTGATCTACGTGTTTCAAGACATCATGATCACAATTCACACAAAAATTATCAGTAGCATTCTCATACTGAGATACTTTACATAAAGTCAGACACATAAAAATCAACAGTCAAAACATTACCCACCAAAATCTGAACTTGTTGCACAAAACATTAACAACTAACAAGAATAAACTTAAGTTTGAAAGACAAATGAAAGACAGAAAAATAAAGAAAAAACCTAAGAGCTTGACTCACAGATGGAGATGAAGCAGTGATGGAACGCCGGAGGTGGACCCGTAGAGGCCGTGAGGATGAGGCGCGTATGTTCACCGAAGGCAACATTCAACCCTAATTGATGCCCAATTACTCTATTTATACCGACTTCAAAATTTTCGACAAAGGAATTAATGTTTACGGCCAATCAAAAATACTATCTTTTTTTATTACCATACCCTCTCAATCATTTTATTTTTTTTAGGTAAACATAATTAGAATCTAACATTATTTTCCTTATAAAAATGTTTCTCTCTTCTTCTATTAATTTTTAAATAAAAGTAATAATTATTGTTTACGTAAATAGTTTTATTAATTATACACCTCAGTTGTTGTCCTGATTTAACCTTTGTTCTTAGATTATTATTAGTTTTTTATTTTGTATTCAAACTTTATTATTTGATATAATTTCACTACAAGAAGATCGGGCAACAGCGGCGACACGTGTCGCCGCTAAAGGTTAGGCGGATCGCCGCTAATATCTTTAGCGGCGACGTGTCGCTGCAAATGCGTCACCAATATTGTTTCGTCACTAATACGCTTATTGTCGCCGCTAATATTACGTGTCGTCGCAAACGCCACGCGTCGCCGCTAATAGATTGTTGCCGCTAATACGCGCGTGTCGCCACAAAAGCTGTCGCCGCTAATACTCTTTTGATTTTTTTAGTTTATTTATTTAACATTAAATTTATAATCAATCCAAATATTAATCCATATAGCATTTGAAAAATCTGAAAAGTTTTTATAGAAATATTAATACATATTATACAATCAATCCAAAATATTAATCCATACCACATTAAGTATTCTTCCAAATTACAAAACGTTTCATAAAATCCTAAAGTAACTACTCGTCCTCATCATCATCTCCTTCATTATTTGGTGGCGGCAATGAGCGAAACCACTCTTCCAATGCTGCAGAACAGGCCGGTTCCTGTAGTATTGTTTGCAGCATTTGCAACTATAAAGAAAACAAAATATATTAACAACATATCAGAATAACATTATAATTAATTATACCATTCTACAAAATATCAACTTATCAACATATCAAATACACTTAAACATACATCTACTTTCTATTATAGCATTTACTTTCCAAAAAATTACCAAACTACAAAATATCAACATATCAAACCATAACCAACATATCATTATACCATTCTACTTTCCATTATTGCATTGTACTTTCCAAAAATTACCAAACTACAAAATATCAACATATCAAATCATAACCAACATATCATTATACCATTCTACTTTCCATTATAACATTACTTTCCAAAAATTACCAAACTACAAAATACCAACATATCAAATCATAACCAACATATCATTATAGCATTCTACTTTCCATTATAGCATTTACTAACAATTACCTGTGATTGTGGTTGTTCTTGTGTCATTGGTTGTTCCTGATCGTACATGACACAACGGTAGGGGGTTTACGCCCAATGCCTCTGATATGTCCGCGTCGAACACCCAATATTCTTTCAAAACAATCTTTTATATCAGTTGGTGCTAGATCGCCTGCCTCAGAAGTAGCTTGGGTTCATTGGTTTATCTCCTCGAGTAAAGCATTCTGTATTTTTTTAAAATAATAAAAATCATCAAAATTAGATTACTAAATACCTTTGACGATATAAACACTTATATGAAAAATACAAATTAACCACTTATGTATTGTTGCTCGACTGCAGGACTATAAAATACCCCTTGGCAATTGGAATTAGCCTTACGAAAAGCTTCGATTTGACTGATATCATATTTAACATTAAAATTTAGTTTACTTATACTTTAAATAAATATTTAAATATATCATAACTTACTTCTTTGAAACATGCATTGCTGTATGAGCTCGACCCCCTCTGTTTACAACTACTTGTTTTGCACGATTAAAAGTATGTTGCTATTAAGTTGGTTTTATAATTGATTTAATTTGATTTTATAAAGGTAACTTAAATGGATTCTAAAGGTAAATTAATTAGATTTTATAATTAATTTAATATTTTCTTTTTTGTTATTAGTTTAATTTATTAAACTAATTTTATTTTATTTTAATATTAACATTAACTTGATTTTAAAACTACTTTAAGTTGATTTTACAATTAATTTATTATTTTTTTAATGTTTTTTAAAATTAATTTAATTTTATTCTATAATTAAATTAAAATTACTAGAAGTGCGTTGCTATTAATAACCTAATTAAAGCTAAAGTTGTAATGACCAACATTAAGTCACTAAAAGTATGTTGCTATTAAGTTGGCCAAACATTAAGTTACTAACAAAATTAAGCATTTTGAGACCATATACAATACATTACTAGAAGTAAGTCGCTATTAATAACCTAATTAAGCCAAATGTATACATCTAATTTGCATATTCCAATTTCATCCAATTTCATACAATTAAGCCAAATGTATACATCCAATTTCATACAATTTGCATATTCCAATTTCATCCAATTTGAATATTCCAATTTCATCCAATTTCATACAATTAAGCCAAATGTATACATCCAATTTGCATATTCCAATTTCATCCAATTTCATATAATTAAGTCACTAAAAGTATGTTACTATTAAGTTGGTTTTATAATTAATTTAATTTGATTTTATAAAGGTAACTTAATTTGATTCTAAAGATAAGTTAATTTGATTTTCTAATTAAACAAAATCAAACAAATGTGTATATATATATATATACACACACACACATCCAATTTCAATATCCAATTTCAATTTCATGCCAATGTGGTATAAACAAAAGTTAAAAAAACATACACAAATTTAATTTTTAAGCCAATGTGGTATATACAAAAGTTACAAAAACATGCCAAAATTCATTTTTTAGCCAATATGGTATAAACAAAAATTACAAAAACGTGCCAAATTTCAATAGGGTAAACTTTGAAGATTTTAATTGAAGTTTCTTTGTTTAAGAATAAACTTTTAATTATTTTTTAGAGCAAGGGACTAAAACCGTACAAATCAAAAGTTGAGGGGCTGATCATATATACTTTGTAATAGAGTTTGGTTAAATCAGGAGGTTTGATACCTCCTGCTAGTTCAGCAAGAAGCAAGCACAAAAGCAAGAAAAAAAAATATTAATGGTCTTGTGTTTATAGGTGATCTAATAACAATTCAAGAGGCAATTACTCACATATAGCATCAATTTATACATTCATGAACAATAATAAGCAAGAAAAAAATATGAATGGGTCTTGTGTTTATTAGTAATATAACAACAATTGAAGAGGCAATTTCCAACATAATCAAACCAATTGATCATCCAACGCAGAAAAATGATAGCAAATAAGAGGAATTAAACCCCGAATGAGGCCAATATTGGAAATGAGCTCAATGGTAGCCGGTAATAGGGGAAGGAGTGGCGGTCTTGTGGTGGCAGGAGGGCTAGCACCGCCATAATGTTCTTCCTCCACTTAATTAACTGGTCCACTATTTTTTGAGAAGCAGAACAAGAAACGAGAGCGAGAGAAGAAAGAAACAAGAGAAATGTCGCAGAAAAGGGAACTGGAAGGGGGGTAATCTGCGCTTGGTATTAGCTGCGACAGGCAATAGCGGCGACGCTAGGGTATTAGCGGCAACAACTGGGCAATAGCGACGACGCCTTGGAGGGAAAAGTCAGCGCGTTTTCGCTTTCCTGTACAACCGTTGGATTGAAAACAAATCGGACGGATAAGGGTAAGTTGACGCGGATCGCCATTTGCAAGTATTACCGACGACGCCTTTAGCGGCGACATAGCGGCGACATGGGTCAATAGCGCGTCAATTACATGTCGTCGCTAAAGGCGTCACCGGTAATACTCCGGTTTCTTGTAGTGTTTATTGATTTGTTATTTGATGAAATTTATTGATTTATTTTGTATTCAAACTTTATTATTTATTATAACCTATACCAAACGAATATTTAATTTATACATGTTAGCATAACTTCAAAAATATCGTTATCATAACATTATACATACATATAATAAAATGATATATTTCTACTTATAATTATATAAAATAATTATTTTAATCACTGTATTATACTAAAATGTTTATTATATTATGCTAAATACTAAATTATATTGTATTATGTAAAATTTGTTTTTTATTTTCAGTGATATTTTTATAATTAACTATTGTTTAATATTATTTATATTAATGAATATGAAAACAGTAAGTATAATTGTATTTATTTTTAATTTTCAGTACTATTTGTAAATTGTAATTCTTATAATTTATAGATTTTTTTATAACTATTATAGAGTGGTGATGATATTTAAAAAATATGTAGAAACAAATATATAAAGTATTAAATATAACATTTTTTCATGAGATCGTTATAAAATATTAAATATTTAGAAATAAATATTTTTCATTACAACAATATTGTACATTTATTTGTAAGCCAAATCAATAATACATTTTATATTTAACTAAAAATCATGTATTTTTAAAACAAAATAATAAAGTATTTTTATCTTTAACCTAAATAATGTCAATCGACAAATGAAATTGTGCACCAAAAGTAAATAATTTGACGACCATGAAAACGAAACAATTTTTTCAACGGAAACAAAATGTCAGAATGAAACTAATCGTTATCGCTGCATCGCGCGGGTATCCTGCTAGTATATATATATATATATATATATATATATATATATAATATATATATATATATATATATATATATATATATATATATATATATATATATATATATATATATATATATATATGAGAGTTGATCAAGGACTCCAAGTTCATACTGCTATCCTTTAGATCAAAAGGCAACTCATTTAAAAATGTTAAAAATGTTTAACATTTCATGTGTTTCCTAAAAAGGAAAGTCTTGAAATATGTAAATATGGTATAGGAATAATAGTTCAAAAACAAATTCGAATATTTGAACGAGATGTACTCATATGGAATCATCATGTTATAAATAAGAATTGCAATACTGTATATCCAGTTGGATATGTTTTTGGAATTCATTTAACTACAAGTCTTATGATCAATGCAATCCCTATTTGTCAAGAACGAAGAATATCTGAATGAATTGGTCTAAATAATTGTTTGTTCAGAT